ACAATTGGCATTTTCTGAAAGCTCTCGACGAGGCAATCACAGAAATGGTAACATTTTGTCTACTGACCACGCCTATCACGTGTTATGACGTCAGATGTACAAAAATATCAAATTTTTTGGGTGATCAGATTTGCACAAATGCTATATTTTTGAAAAGCTCTTGAATCAAGCAGTTGGAAGATGCAAACATCACGTCAATAGACAGAATATTACTCAAGTTATGAGGAATTTTTTTCAAAAATGACGTCACAATTGCAAAGGGGCGTGGTTTATGACCGCATCCAACATCATTTCGTAGTCCACACACTTAGGCGATCCCAACTAAGCCAACATTGCAATGCTCTGGGCCATTTAAGAAAAATTTGAAAAAAGCCATTTTCATCTCACAAACCCCTTGTAACTTACAGGGCCAAGTATGGGCTTTTGCTAACCCTAACCCTTACCCTAACCCTAACCTCAAAATCAAGAGATAGCAACAGACAATTGGCATTTTCTGAAAGCTCTCGACTAGGCAATCACAGAAATGGTAACATTTTGTCTACTGACCACRCCAATCACGTGTTATGACGTCAGATGTACAAAAATATCAAATTTTTTGGKTGATCAGATTTGCACAAATGCTATATTTTTGAAAAGCTCTTGAATCAAGCAGTTGGAAGATGCAAACATCACGTCAATAGACAGAATATTACTCAAGTTATGAGGAATTTTGTGAGGTAGAATGGAACTACCCACAGACCACCAAAACATTGCTCCTAACCACGACAAGCTAGAGCTAAGAAAAAAATCAAACAACTGTTGTGGCACAACAGTTGTTTCACAGTAGGAATCCTTTTATCTCAGTATAATCCATTTTCATTTTGACACCTTTAGCGGAAAACTCATGTTCTATGTACTGTCAACACAACATTCGATAGTATTCAATGTAGGCAACAAGTTTGGTTAATAATGAATAAAGTTTGAGTAACTGGATATGAGTGAAATTGTCTTAGCGCGTAATTCAAAGGTCACAACGTTAGAACTCTGGATAGAGATGCTGTTTAGAAGGGTCTWCTCGACCCTTCTCGATCCGTTAAAGAACTGGTTTGCTGTGTCTAATGAAATATGCGGGGGACCGACCAGATATTTTGCTAACTCAACTTTGGCTAAACGTTTTCCCGATGAAATAGTGAAAATTCCCCTAGATTCTTTGTATTTGGAAAATGGCGCGAAGTGCAGCTCGAAGAACTTTGATGGCGGACGAGCGAAGCAAGATGTTCACGTGGCATCAACATTTGGTATTGCATTTGGCATTTTACACCAGAAAAACAACCCAGTCATCAAGACGAAGGACTATAAAAACCT